ATCAATGTTATGGAACTGATGTCACAAACAATGCTGTTCTGACTTATTTCTTATGGACTTTGCAATATGTGATGGCACCATTTGCTCATGTCTCCAAACTACTGCCTGATTCCATGAACTTCTAGAATCTTGATAGCTCCCATCCCTTCAGGGTGCTAATCTAGATAATGGGATAAAGCCACCTAATGAAATATCATTCATCAATACTCCTGTCCAGTCAATTTGTTTTGGATTACCTCTGGAATCAGAGCTAGCATGTAGCAAGAAGGGACATTTAAAGCATCTAGAGTAACCACACAGCAGCTGCCAGTGTAGCTTAAGAATAGACCAATTGACTGCAAACCAAATCAATGACACAACAATAGGATGAAAGGAATAATGACAGAGATTCTGTCCACATTAGCAATTGCTCACTCCTCCTTCAGGAGGAGAACTTTGGGGTTAGACGTCCTTTGGGTACATTGTAAGAAATGGGGGGAAGATTGTCACATCCACATGATATAGTAAAGGGTTGCTTCCTCTTGTGTTAGCCCTTGCTTATATTTCCTAATATCACCTAATTTGTTAATTGCGTTTTAATCACATTGATCCTCCAGACAAGGAGTCAAGGTAGCAGACACGTACATATTATCCCAATCTCTCTCTCTCTCTCTCATTCCCCCCCTCTCCCCCCCCCCCGGTGTGGTAGGTTAGACTGAAAGATGTTGACTGGTCCAAGCTTAATGTCAAAGCATGGATTTGTATTCTGGTCCCCTATGACCTGGTGCAACATGCATCTCTTCTACATTTTCTCTAATTGTTTGTTATGTTACATTCAATCCTTCTTGCCAGCTTTTGCTTAATGCCTCTTGATTGCCTTTGGTTTTGAGAAGATGCTGTATTCCTGCAGCGATGATTGAGCTGAGGTTTATTATAGCTTTCTAAAGGAGGGGGATTTTAAACCTCATCAGTCAGATCTGTGGGAGAAGGGAAATGGGTGAGCTCTCTGTACAGCTTCCTTTGTTTATCTTGGGAATTTTGGTAGGGTCAAATGACACATTTCTTTTAATAGCCTTCAGCTATGCATGCGATTTTTGTTTACCCAAAAGTAGGTACAAAGAGACCTTCTTCACAGTGGTGTCAGTGGGGGGATTGCTTACCATCAGTGGAATTACAGGGATGTCACAGCTGGAATGCGGAAGATTAAACCTTTACCTTTTTCTCTAATCCTAAATTGGATTGGGCTTCTTGTGCATAAGGGAATGAATGGGAGGTTTACTGATTTTTCCTTCCCAGTCATGATACTCCTGTGCAACAGACAGCAATAATAAAGAAGTCCTCATTGGCACCCATGGAAGCTCCACCCCTCGCTGCTAAGTGACATATAGGGGAAGTTTCTGGGGGCAGGTCACAGCTGGGGAGTGAAGGACAAAAGCTCTCTGTGTGCTGTGTTCTTAATCCAGATCAGGCCCTCTGCCACTTACTTTGTTTAAGAAAACACACACACACACAGAGTTGTGGGCAACATATTAAACATTTTGTGTAGTTTGACCCTTTGGCGATACCTCTAGGATTCCCTTGGACCGAAGTCGGAAGCCTTCTGTCAAAGTGAATGAGAACATTTTGACATGGGCAAAGAAAGATTAACAAAAGAGCAACAAAATGAAAGCAAAGGCAGAAGCCACCCGGTCCACCTCTACACATCTATTCCGACAGCTCTCCTCAATTGCATGTCTGTGTTGTCTCCTTCATCACCGAGAGGAGTCTGGTCCTCCACTGTATCCTCAACACAGACACTGATCTCTTTTAGTCACACATGCTTGCCTGCCTATTAGCTTTGACCATTGTGCTCAAACAGTATTCCAGTTCTGCTGGATTTCTTTTCAAAATCACCGGCATACGATAAAGAGCATGGCCAGGAAGCGCTCAACAAGTCCACCTGCAGAATTACCTTTAATTGGCTGTTGATGGCTGGGATGAAAAGCATGGGGCTAGCTTGTTAGAGCCCACTTTGAAAGGTATCAGTGGCTGGAGGTAGAGCTTAGGGCAGATTTCTCTCTCACACACATACACTCTCTTCAAAGCTCAGTCAACAGTGGTTCAGTCTACATTTGAAGGTTGTGTTTGGGCCAGTAGATTCAGTCTGAGCTTCATTGGATCACGGAGCAGATAATTAGAATTCAGAAGACCATGACAACCGTTTGGGAGATCTCAGCGACCTCTGTCTCAAAGAATCCCATCATGTAAACAAGCATTTCAAGGAGAACCTGCTCCCCCTTCTTACAGATGGACTGCCCAGTGCCTAGTTCTTAATCAGACAGAATGTCACACTCCATGATTTAGATACAGCCAGCCGTGCATGCAGCTGCATGCTGGGGCTACATGCATGTCACCTCAGTCAAATTCTATTTATCAGTGACAGCCTTGATCAGATGCTCAGGGAGGAAGAAGATGCTGGGGTGGAGGATAAATTCAGGGGAGAAGCATCTGGGTCAGGGGATGAGAACCACAGAAATGTCCTACACTGAATCAGAGGGCAAGAATGTGTTTCTTAAAGCCCAACTGCGAATCCTCCAGTGTAGATCACAAGGTGGGTATTTGCATATTACAAAACAACAACAACAACAACCCACCAATGCAGAAGAGTAGGAGTGTTGGAAAGTACAATCAGAAATGGACATGGGAGTAGGAATTGCCATAGTTTGCATGTTTATCTGAGATCAAAGAAAATCACAGAAGCAAATAGGGGTGATATTTGTTATCACAATGTGGTTCCCCCCTCCTTTTTAGTTTGCAAATGTTATGCAATTCATTGCATTGTTTTCTGCATTGCTTTTGGTGTTTCCCTTGCATTGAAATACATTGAAACTAATTACGTAATTAATTAATTACATGATTAGTTATGTTTGTTTTGGCCACAGCAAATAGGGATACAGCATTGATTGCAACACGGGACAGGATGCAAATGACTTCCTCCTGACATACCTACATCCAGTGCTGTTTTTTTTAGAAAAAGAGGTGCCAGAACTCACCACGAACTCTTGTTCTCTTATAATGGCAATGGCGCCCACCTGAGAGGTGCTGGAACTAAGTTCCGACAAGTTCTGGCTGGGAAAAAAGGCCTGCCTATATATAGTGTACAGATTTACATTAAAATTTCATATGCTGATTTATGGAGAGACAAATTTAGAAATAATCACTAAAATATTAATAGAAATACAATAACTCCCCTGTAAAGGGGAAAGCGAATGAGTGAATGGTGTACCTGCTCACAGAGAACTTCAAGACCCCTGTTCTTCCTGAACTGAGACCACATCAAGGAAAAGGGAACGCTTTTTTTTTTTACCTGTACACCAATCAGTCTCAGGGCCACAGGAGCACCATTCAAGCAACGATGTCAAAATATAAGGCAGCCAAACAATAAAGAGAATGATATAACTGTTTGCATCCCCTAGTTGTTTAAAACTCTCTTGGACGTCTATGTGGCTTTTGATATTATAGCGTCAGTACCCAAGGAAGGAGCATAAGTGCTTTGATTTAACTGCTGGCAAATGTTCTTTGTTGGGAAATCCAAGAGTCTGGGCTGGGCTTTTATTGTATCCCAACAGGCCTACAAGGCAATGCAGAAAGTCGGGCAGCAGCCAATGTCTGCAGGCATTCCCTGACAGCTTCATCTCTGTGACCTGGCTGAACGGACTGAAGATGCCACACACAGGTTTTAAAGGAGAAGAGGAGAAGCAGAGGGAGAGAGAAGGGGTGGGGGAGACAAGGGCAGGTCAATTCATGGGAAGAGGAAGGGAACCTGGAACGACTTATTTTGTATCATATCTAATCAAATACCAAGATAAAATTACCATCAGGCATTTGACCTATAGCTGCAGAACTGGCTGGTCAATGAGCTCCCTAACAAAAGATCGGAGACTCCTAGTCCCTTTCATAGTAGACTTCAGAAGCTTATGGGCAAGAATACTTTTAAATTGAGTCCCCTAGCATGGAATTTATTATCTTCTCATTGCTGCTTCACAGGGACCTGCCAGGGCACTTCCAAATGAAACACCCATTCAAGGGGCACACTGAGTTTTTTCCTCAGAAGTGTCTCTTTCAAGACTAGCCTTGATACACTCTCTTCCCCCAGATTGTAAAGTTTCATCTTTATGCTGCCTCACGCGAGCTGAATGCCATTAGCCATTCTGTTTGGTTGGCAGAGGAGCCCAGGAGCTGAACTGATCAAGCCTTGCATGCCTTCTTCCATTTTTATAAATTCTTAGCTGTCCATTTGGGTTCACCACCAATGTTCCACAAGAGTCTGAGCCAGATTTCCTCCTTACCCTGCTCTTTGTTTTGAGAAGCACTCTGCAAAGAGTCTCCCCTTTGAGGCCTTTGGCAATTGAAGGTTTTTAAGTATGCTTGCATAAGATGCTCAACCAGGTCTGCAGAGCCCTTTTGACACAGCTCTAATGTTATGGCAAATAATCCACCCTGATAATAACAATACTTAACCCTGATGCAGCACTTACCATCTTCCAAAGCCCTTTACAAATGTTAGCTAATTGCTCATTATGTCTGGAATGGGCCCAGAGTTCATGCTTTCGGGTTGAAGTCATGATCAACAGCTCTGAAGTACAGACCACTCTCATGTAAAGCACCAGGACCAGTCATCCTTCACATTGACAGTTCCAAAGCACCGGGCCCAAAGCCAGTCTCAGGTGGGTTTCCATAGCTACCATGACTAGGTCCTGAAGCACCTCAACCTGTCTCAGCACTTTCTGCTGTGCAAATGAATAGCGAAATTAAGCAGGAACCACAGGATTCCACTCAATTTTACTGCTATTGATTTCTCATGTCAAACCTTTGACATCCATCTGCTGGAAAGAGATCAAGGCTGAATTTCCCCCGAAATTCTCCTCATGAGAAATTCTTACATAATTTTCTTTTTCAGGTTGCCCAAAAATGGTTGGAGAATTTTGGTGACCACCTCCTCCTCCCACCCCACAAAAAGTTCTCCATGAATTTGGGGTCTGAGGGTTGTAACTTAGTAGCAGAGCATCTGCTTTGCATGCAGAAGGTCCCAGGTTCAATCCTGGCATCTCCAGGTAGGGCTGGGAATGTTCCTCCCACTGAAACCCTGAGCCTCTTCCAGTCACCATAGATGATGCTAAGCTAGATGCATCAGTGGTCTGACTCTGTATAGGCAGTTGCCTGGTTTCCTAAGAGGATGGAGAATTTGGGGTATTACAGTGGTACCTCAAGTTACATACGCTTCAGGTTACATACGCTTCAGGTTACAGACTCTGCTAACCCAGAAATATTACCTCGGGTTAAGAACTTTGCTTCAGGATGAGAACAGAAATCGTGCTCTGGTGGCACGGCAGCAGCAGGAGGCCCCATTAGTTAAAGTGGTGCTTCAGGTTAAGAACAGTTTCAGGTTAAGAACGGACCTCCAGAACGAATTAAGTTCTTAACCCGAGGCACCACTGTACTGTGCTTTAAACTCCTTATAGTGGAAGGAAGCGACAAGCTTGGTCTCTGATCCTTTCAGATATTGTTGGACTACAACCCCCATCAGTCCTAACCAGAATGTCTGAAAGTCAGGGGAGTGTTGGGATTTGTAGTTCAGGAACAACTGGGGGGGGGGGGGGATATTTTGTCTTTCCCTGCTTGATATAATATGCATTCATTGGTACTGTTATTGAGTGTTATTTTCCGCAAAGTCAAACTCCAACCTTATATAATAAATGGCGCTAGGAAAAGATGATGTGAAATATTCTCAGATTTTACAGAAACATGTCCCGCCATCCCACCCCCCTGGAAGACTTTTAGGAAGTTATGACATCTAAACAATATATTCTATTTTGAAATAAATTAAGTTTGTCCATGCCCATAAAATGTATAAGAAATTAGAAAGGGAAATTTTAATGTTCACAAATACCGTATTTTTCCGTCTATAAGATGCCCCCATGTATAAGATGCCCCCTATTTTGGGGGCAACAACCTTGGCACTATCCCTGTATAAGACACCCACTGATTTTTGACATTTTTTTTGGGGGGGGGAACCTAGTCTTATACACGGAAAAATACGGTACATTAAAGAGAATTTTGCAGGTCCAAAGAAAGAAGGGATCAAACTACTTATCAATGACCTTGTGCTTAGAAGACGTCTTGATCTACAAACTTCATTCTTGGTAGGCAGAATGCTTAAATGGGAAGGATAGCAGAGTAATGCCTTGCATCTAGTGCATAAGTGGATGCATGGAAGTTTAACCACAACATTTTCTTTATTTCTTACTGAGATTTTACTGTTGCTTCCAGGCAGAGGTAAATAACTGTATAAATGCCCCCTGCTCATAAATGACTGCTTCAAATCTTTCTAAATCAGTTTTGCTTGGGTTTTGATTTGAATATTTACGGCACAGATAACCAACATGGCACCCTCCAGATGTTGTTGGACTACAGCGCCGATAATCCTCGGCAACTGGCCATGCTGGCTAAGGCTGATGGGAGTTGCAGTCCAACAGCATCTAGAGCAGGTGTGGGAAACCTCTGGCTCTCTGATGTTGCTGAACTGCACTTCACACCATCCCTGGCTGGGGTTGATTGGAGTTCTAGTTCAACATCTTGAGGGCATCACATTGGCTGACCCTGGTGCAATGGCCTAGATGGAAAACCTGTATGCTTTGCATACATAAATCCCAGGTTTAATCCCAGGTTTAATGTTAAAGAAGTATTTTGGGTAGTAGCACTGGCTGAGAAAGACTTCTGGTTCTGAATACCAGCCAGAGTAGACAATAGGATGAGGACAGGGATGGGGTCCTGCAGAGGTTGTTGGACTATAACCCTCATCAGCCTCAGCCAGCACAGCCAATGTTCATAAAGGATGAGAGCTGGAGTCCTGCATCATTTGGAGGACCACAGGCTCCCCATCCCTTGGCAAGAAGGACCACTGGCCAGTAAGGCAGCTTCAGCAGGGGGCCCATTTCTCAGTGGAACTGAACTACTCTATTTTTTTTATAAATAATATTTATTAAAATTTCAGAAGAAAAAGATTACATTAATAAGAAAAATAACAATAAAGAAAGAAAAATACAAAGTACAAAAAAGAAAAAACAGTTAAAAACAATTCCATCTTTTCATTGCTTCTCTTACGTTTACTTGTTTCCCGGACCTCCTCATACCTCCCTCTTTTGTATCCCAATTCAATTTGTTAGTCCAGCAATTCCTTTCCCTCCTTTTTAATCCTGATCTTTACTCTTAATATATTATAACATTAAATTGTTACGTATTAAAAACCAATTTTTCCATATTCTTTTATACCAGTACAGCTAGAAACCACTTAACTTCAATCCAACATCATTCTAACATTCATTAATTTTACAATATTTCTGTAAATAGTCTTTAAATTTCTTCCAATCTTCTTCCACCGACTCTTCTCCCTGGTCTCAGATTCTGCCAGTCATTTCCACCAATTCCATGTAGTCCATCAATTTCATCTGCCATTCCTCCAGTGTGGGTAAGTCTTGTGTCTTCCAATGCTTTGCAATAAGTATTCTTGCTGCTGTTGTAGCATACATAAAGAAAGTTCTGTCCTTCTTTAACACCGATTGGCCGACTATGCCCAGGAGAAAGGCCTCTGGTTTCTTCAAGAAGGTATATTTAAATACCTTTTTAAATTCATTATAAATCATCTCCCAGAAAACCTTAATCCTTGGGCATGTCCACCACAGGTGAAAGAATGTACCTTCAGTTTCTTTACATTTCCAACATTTATTATCGGGCAAATGGTAGATTTTTGCAAGCTTGACTGGGGTTATGTACCACCTGTATAGCATTTTCATAATATTCTCTCTTAAGGCAGTACATGCCGTAAACTTCATACCTGTGGTCCACAACTGTTCCCAGTCAGCCATCATTATGTTATGTCCAACGTCTTGTGCCCATTTAATCATAGCAGATTTCACCGTTTCATCCTGAGTATTCCATTTCAACAGCAAGTTATACATCTTTGACAAAATCTTAGTTTTGGGTTCTAACAATTCTGTTTCTAATTTTGATTTTTCCACCTGGAAGCCAATTTTCTTGTTCAAATTGTATGCCTCCATTATCTGATAATAATGAAGCCAGTCTCGCACTTTGTTTTTAATTTTTCAAAACTCTGCAGTTTCAATCTATCTCCATCTTGTTCCAAAATTTCCCAATATTTCGGCCAATTGACCTCCATATTGAGCTTTTTCAGAGCTTTCGCTTCCATCGGTGACAGCCACCTTGGGGTTTTATTTTCCAATAAATCCTTTTATCTTATCCAGACATTAAATAATGCTTTCCTGACAATATGGTTTTTAAATGCTTTATGTACCTTATCGTACCACAGATATGCATGCCATCCAAATACATTGTTAAAACCTTCTAGATCCAAAATGTCAGTGTTTTCAAGAAGCAGCCATTCTTTCAACCAGCAAAAATCTGCTGATTCATAATAAAGTTTAAGGTCTGGCAGGGCAAATCCACCTCTTTCCTTTGCATCTGTTAGTATTTTAAATTTTATTCTGGGCTTCTTGCCCTGCCAGACAAATCTAGAAATATCTCTCTGCCACCTCTTGAAACAGTCCATTTTGTCCACAATTTGCAATGTTTGAAACAAAAACAACATTCTAGGCAATACATTCATTTTTACCACAGCAATACGGCCCAGCAGTGAAAGCTTCAAATTTGACCAAATTTCTAAATCTTTTTCACTTCAGCCCAACATTTTTCATAATTATCTTTAAATAAATTCCCATTTTTTGCTGTCATGTTAATCCCCAGGTATTTAACTTTCTTAACCACTGTTAAACCTGTCTCATTCTGAAACCTCTCTCTCTCCATTGGTGTTAAACTTTTCTCTAAAACCTTAGTTTTTAACTTATTCAATTTAAACCCTGCAACTTGACCAAATTCTTGAATCAGTTCTAGAACCCTTTTGGTACTAGATTCTGGCTCCTGTAACGTCAGTACTAAGTCATCTGCAAATGCTCTCAATTTGTACTGTTTGGCTCCGACCTGGGAACTGAACTACTCTATGACTAATAAGCAATATAAATGAAAAAAGTGATCTCCTGGCTTCATTACTATGCATTTACCCAGTATGCATTGTGTGTACGGTTCCAATCAACTTATCTTTTCCTTAATTTTTCCCCCTGGGTTCTGTCACAACAATGTTCTCATGAGGAACATATATAATGCAATTAAAATATTCCTCAATTATCCTTCATTTGATACTAAATTGCTCACCATCAGAAGTAAATTTGTGACAGAAACACAGGTGTGCAGTCTGAGAAAGGCTCCCCTCCTTAACAACCCAGGAATCTATATAACTGCTGAGTTATATGGTAGGCATGCCATTTGCTTTATGCTTGGGAATATAATTTGTGTGAGGGGTGTGGGGGTTTGGTTTTACTGTATTATGTGCAATTTACATTGTGCATTTTGTAAAGAAGATATTGCTCAGTTCTGCTGCATTCATAGTTTATTAGGAGGTAGGGCTGTGTTGGGGAAATCAGACTGTGTATCCTTGTTTTGCAGAGAATACGTGAGGTTATATAAACTGGAATTCTTATTATTTTTTGCTGGTTTACAGGCAGGTTGGTTTTATTTTCTATTGTCGCTGTTACTGTTGTTGCTTGTGTCCTGTTGGCAGAGTAGCAAACCTGAAAAATAAGAAATAGAATAGATTCCTTAGCTGCAATAGTCAAACACCAGGAGCTACCAGCAAGATGTAGCAGATGAACTGAACTAGAAAAAGGGAGACATGGGTTCAAGTCTGACCTTTCTCCTCATCATGAAGCATCTCTCTCTATCCACCCCCAATCCTCCCTCGCAGGCTCATTGTATAGTCTGGGTATAGTCTGAAGGTATGTGCATCCAGCATCTTTCTGAAGCTAAGCAGGTCTGCACCTGGTCAATGTCTGGATGGGTGACTGCCTAGGAACCAACCATTTTGTATGCTGCTTTGCAGTCCATAATGGAACAAAGGCAGGATATAAATGGAAAGAACAAACAAAAAAAATGTGTGCAGGTGAAGGATCTAGTATGAAGACAGAGTGTAGGGATCCCCACACT